AACAACCAACAACAAATAATTACAAATTGGGCTAAGTGCTATGAAGGCAGGAAAGAGTAATTAGCCCGCGCTTACCTCTCCCTAGCTCCAGAGGCCTGCCCTCATTATAGAAAACCCGTACCTGCCCAACCTCCCAGGGTGCTGCCGGCTGACGAGCTTGGTTCCCCTCGTACAGCGAGGGGATTGACAATAGTTTGAAAAACATTTGATGAACTAAACTGGAAAACAAAACTTAAATTAAAAACAAAACAAAAAAACACAGCAGTCATCCAGGTGGCTTCTACAACCTAATTTTACAAACCACTGTGGCCGAAAGAAGCCAAGCATTTGATCCCTAACCACACAGCTGGCAGGTGGCAAAGCCCAGGCCGGAAATCATGTCTCCTGTCTCCTGGTCCAGAGCTCTACCTTGACCCAATGCTGCCCCCCTAGTCTGTCTTGAAGGACTTCACAGCCTCCAGGAATCTGCAGCCTCCAGGCCCCCCTCAGATGCCTTCTTTGCAGATGAGCACTGTCCAGTAGAATCGCATGCAGTGATGGAAATGTCCCATGCCTGTGCTGTCCAACGTGGACACTTGGCATCACTCGGCAGGTTCAGGAAAATGGGGCCAGTTGGGAAGCGGTAGAAATTGGCAGGGGATGTGGAGAGAAGGCAGGTATGGAGGAGCTGAGATGGAGAAAGGAAGGGCAACAACTGCAAAGGAGATTTTCTGCTGTTCCAAGGAATCTTCTAGACTTTATCCCATAGTCCCCAGGGAGCTACTGAAGAACTTTATGCAAAGTAATGAAATGATTGTGTTCTCCCTGGGCCCCCGAATTGGTCACTGCTCCTCTGAGCTCCAAAGCACCTCTGACACTCCAGTAATACTGGCTGTCATCATCGTCACCCACACACACTGTTTCTCACCCTCACAGCTCTACTGCCTTAGCCTGAAACACATTTCTCCTCCCCTCCTGCTCAGCTCTTCCTCTTCCTTCAAGCCTCTGCTCCCCGGCCTCACTGGGAAGACATCACAGACACCTCCACCTGGGTCAGTGCCTCTTCCGGCCTCCATAGCCTGCCTGGCACATGGAGGAGGCTTCGTGCGCACTGTTTTAATTTCCCTATCCTTGCTGTTAGTTTCCCCTTTCTTGGCCTTTTCCCATCCCAAATGTACTTTTATTCTCCCCATCCCCAGCTCCAGGGCCCACAGAAATTTTTTTCACACAGCAGCAGTTTGCTCAAAAACCTGAAGCCCTGGGCCTAGGACATCCTTCCCAGAACTTGGGCAGGGCCTCCCTCCTGCGGCCTCAGGACAGGCTTGCTCAACATGACAGTCCAAAGAAAGGAGGCCAGAGTTTCCAGCCTCATCAGGGAGCGGTCTCTGACCCAGTGAGTATAGATGTGGTGGTGCTTTTAGGAGAGAGGAAGAGAGATGGACAGGAACGTGAGCAGGCTCATCTGGGAAGGCTTCCTGGAAGAGTGATCTGACCTTGTCGTCATGCCCTGGAGTGAAGCTAAGACTCTTCCCTGCTTATCTCCCCAAGTGTCACATCTTACCCCAGAGCCCCAGCCCAGCTGGGATGTGCTCACTGAAACATTCATCCAACAACTATGCGTTGCTATCCTGCGGTATCCCAGGCCTGCCGGCTCCACAGGCCAGGCTTCCAGCCAAAGGGAACAAGACTCAGAGGAGGTGCTGAAACTGTGACACAAGGATGCCATTCCCATAAGGCCATCCAGCTGGGCTGTGGGGGCTGCAGATGCCTCTCCTCCCCAGGGCTGAGAGAGAGAAGCCCTGACCCAGGACTCTGAGTGGGCAGGGCACAGAGACGGGAAGCAAGAGTGAAGAGGTGGATGAGAACGAGCGGGAGACAGACCAGAGGCTGGGAATGAGTGATGTGAAGAGAGAAAGGGAAGGCAGGAAGAAGCAGAAAAAATAAGAAAACTCCCCCTTACTTGTTTGAGGATCAATTTCAGGAGGCTTCTGGGCAGCCCCGTCCAAGCCCCTCCCATTCTTTACCTCTGGCCAGCCCTTGCCCTCTTCTGCCTTTTCTCTGCCTCCTGAAAGATCCAGACTGTATCCTGTCACTAGTTATAGGGAATGAGAGGCACGGTGGGAAGACTCAAGGTGGAGGGAGGGGGACTGGAGTTTCTCTCCCTAGACTGTGTAAGGACCGACCAGGACAGGCCTCCAGAGTCCCAGAGGGGCACAAGTTGCTGGTCTGCGACTGCGGTCATCCAAGCTCACACCCCACCCAAAGGCTCAAACAGACTTGTGTGTGAGTATTCTCAGGCGGAGTTTGGAGACTGCCCAGGCGCCTCAACATCCCCAAAGAGACTAACAATTTTACCCATGCTGCAACTTTCCTCTCCCACTCCTGCCAGGCTTCCTGCTCCCTGAACCCATAGGTGGTCCAGCCTCCATATCAAGGCCAGAAGGAGGTCGTATCAGGTCTTCCATGAGAGCGGAAAGGCAGGGACCTGCACAGTTAACCCTCAAGGATGCCAATGCAGGAGTGAGAGGAGGTGTGGGTGGAGCTAGTGAAGGGATGAGAGGGAGAGGTGGTGAGGCTGTGTGCTTCCATGGAGCTGTGTTTGTTTGGGGCCTTTTGACTGCTTTTCCTGTTTGGCAGCCACAGCCATGACAGCCAAAGACATTTCTCTGGCAGCTCCCAAAAGAGACGGCAGGGCCAGAGAGGAATCAGCGGGTGGGACCCATGTCCCACCCCTGGGCCAGAGCCCCTGGGAGCATGCCTTCCATGCCTCCAAGAGGCCAGGCCCACCCCACCCCACCCCACCCCCTGCCAAAAGAAGGCTGCCCAGTGGTCAGGCCCCAGGGATAGCCCTGCAGTGCCAGCCTCAAAGCCAGGCACCCAGCAATTTACTGTGACCTATCTAAATTCAGGGGTTGACCAGAGGTCAGTGGAAGTCAGCAAGAGACAGCCGACTGAACTTACGCAGAGGCACCTTGAAGAAGTGGGCATCCGGCTTAGGAAAGTTAGGAGGTAGAACTGAGCCCCAGACAGTAAGAAAAGAGCTCCCTTTTCTACCCACTGTCTTTTCCAGCGGCCACCAGGCTCAGAGGAAGCTAAGAGGAAGGGCTTATAGCTCCAAATGTCTGGGTTTAAATCCAGCACTAATAAACTGCATGACCTTAGGCAATTAACCCCACTGAGGTCCAGTTTCCACCTCTGTAAGTCAGGCTGATGAGAATTAAAGCGTCTACCTCAAATGGGGGTTGCCAGGAGGATTAAGGAAGTTAATCCATGTAAAGCATTTGGGACATACCTGACCTGCCAGCTGTCACCACCAGTGGGGCCTGGATCCCACTGCCTACCCTCCCCTTCCCCATAGAGTACAGGGGCAGCTGGGGTGGGGGAGGGCAGGGTGCTGAGTTTGACTAAATGCCATTCAGATACCAGGTCAGGGACACTGGGGTGGGCCACGCAAGCGTGTGCCGAATATGGCAGCAGGGGTCAGAAGTGGAAACGGACACCACTGCAGTGACCCAGTAACCCAGAAGCGCCTCGCCAGCCCACCCCCAGCCTCAGAGCCTGGGATCCAGCCTTGGGATAGACTCGTGGCCTAGCTGCAGATTCCTGTGCCTCAGTGCGTCAGAATTGCCCACTGCGTGGGACAGAGGTCTGGCCGACGAGGCAGGAGGCCTGGAGCAGGCAACGTGACCCCGGCCGTGGCTCCCATCTCCAGGCCCGGAAGGGGCTGAGATCTCTTCTAACCCTGCCTACCTGACCCTGTCTTAGACATATTCCTCCTCTGCCGCGGCCCCACCACCTGGGATGGTGTGCCAGGTCCAGGGAGGGCACACAGAACCAGCCAGCCAGGGCATGGGCATCCAGAGACATCAGGCCAGGGAGGACAGAAGAGGCAGGCCCGGGAGAGCTGGCAGCTGTGTGGAGTGGAAACGTGGGGCCTCTGGAACTTCAGGAAGGAGGGAGGGAGCGCTCTGGGTGGGCTGAGCCTTCTCCTGCCCCATCCAAGTCTCCGTGGGAGCAAAGTGCTGTCTTTCTATTTTTACTTCCTATTAAAATGAAACAGGGGAAGGAGACAGAGAAGAGAGAAAGGAGGAGTGGGAAGGGAGGGCAGGGGTACATTCTCACTGCCCTTGAGGCAAGACTGAACTTAGCCATGGCCATCTCCCCTGCCAGACTCAGCTCCCAGAAGGCGGGCACGGGTCTTAGCCACCATTTACTGAGGACTTGGTGCTAGCCTCTGCTGCTCTGCATACACCGCCTCCTGTGGGGTTGATCATTTCATCCTCATGTTACACATGAGGACAGAAATCAAGTAACCTGCCTGCGGTCACACCAGGGGTGAGCAGCCAAGCTGAATCTTAAACCCATGTCTCACTCATCCAAAGGCAAGGGCTCTTGGCCTTGACCATCTATTTCCTCTCCAGCCTCTGAGACAGTAGGATGCACATAGTAGGTGCTTAATAAATGATAGATCCAAGGAAGGAAGGAAGAAGGGAGAGAGAGAAAAAGAAAGGAAGAAGAACAGATAAGCCAGGGAGACTCTTGGGCAACTGGAAAATGTGTAATAAAAGATGTTGTTTTCCAATGCTAGCCTGGCACGGTGCCTGGGACAGCAGCCCTACACTCGGGAAGGTTTGCCCTGCACTCCGGAGCCCAGGGCCTGCGCTTGCCTCATCTTTTCCAGAAGTATGTGGGCCCAGGTACGTCAGCCTTCAGGTATGCAGTGAGGTCTGCGGTGAGAGGCAAGAGGCGCGCGCGCCCTCTCGCTCTCTCCTCTCCTTCCTCGTTGAATCACCCCTTCCTCTCGCAGGCTTCCCACTCCCACTCAGCCAGCCCAAACTTGCCCCCCTCCCTGGAGCCAGGCCCTGCCGGGTTGGGGGCCTGTGAACAGGCCCCTCAGCAAGTCAGATGCCCGGCCCTGGAGGAGTGGTGCCGGGGGGAGGGGCCAGAGCACCACGTCATCTAACAGGTTGGTCGGGCTGGGGAGGCGTCCCGCCCTCCTGCAGCTAATGAGCACTGTACGACAGGTGTTTGCCCCTCAGTCCCCAGCCTGCCCTGCCGGCGACTGGAGCCAGCTGCCGACGCCAGCCCGCAAAGTTTCCCTCTCTCATCCCTGCACCCTCCGCGCCCCAGGCCCGGGGGCCGCGATGGCCTGCCGCTCCTGCGTCGTTGGCTTCAGCAGCCTTAGCAGCTGTGAGGTGACTCCAGCGGGCGGCCCCCGGCCTGGAACCTCGGAATGGGGCAGCTGCGGAGCCCCCGGGCCGGGCTTCAGCTCTCGCAGCCTCACAGGCTGCTGGCCGACCGGCACCATCCCCAAGGTGACCGTGAACCCCAGCCTGCTGGTACCCCTGGATCTCAAGCTGGACCCAACCATCCAGCAGCAGAAGATCCAGGAAAAGGAGGAGATGAAGGTCCTCAATGATAAGTTTGCCTCCTTGATTGGCAAGGTAAGCAAAAGTGGGAAGGGGGGCTCCGAAAGCTGAGGACTAGCAAGTGGCTGTTCTGTACTTCCGGAGCATCATGCCCCACCCCTGGCCCCAGCCAATGGGGAGCCGGCGTTGCTAACTCTGCCGGCTAGCTCGGAGCAGAGAGATGCGGAGAGAAGTCTCTGAGCCATCCTGGCGCAAAGGGAGAAAACGTGTACCAGGTGGATAATAATGTGCTGTGTGGCTTGGGGTCACCGTCCTCCCTGGCACGCACTAGGGAGGAGCTCCGAGTGTAGCCAAGCAGATGCCCCCTTCTAGGAACTGCTGATGAAGGCATTGTCTGCAGTCCTGTTCTGAAGCAGGTGGACAGCTGAGATGACCTCCCAAGGGTCCACTGTGCTGTCCAGGCCTCTGGCCCTGTTTAGCTTTCCGGAGTCAGGAGCACTTGCCGAGCCAAGGAAGTGTGGGGAGGGGGGTGGGCTTCCGGAAGGAAGGAGGCTGCGGAGTGGGTTGCAGCTACGCAGTCAAGAGATAGGAATGCAGGAGATGGATGCTCCCAGTCCCACCCACCTGAGGAGAAGGAATGAGTCCCCAGAATTCTGACTGCCTAGACCCTGATGCCATGGCCGGCAAGCTGGTCTGGGCCCTTGTGTCCACCTCTGCCCCAGGGCAAGGGTTTCAAGAGCTTTAAGGAAGTCCTGTCCACTCTGCTCCTTACTTACCTCCTTCAAGAAACCTCTCCTGACCAGCCCTCAGCTCTGCTCCCTCCTGCCCTGCCCAAGAAAAACAGTCACAGTACTAAGAGCTGCTGTTACTTAATTGCTTATTATGTGCCAGGCACTGTGCTGGGTGCTTCCATATTTATCTCCAGGAAAAAAAGTCATTTTATGCCCATTTTACCAATGAGGAAAACTCCACCTCCTTTCCCTCCACCCCCAGTAAACCAGAGCCCCACCCTCTGCCCTGACTCAGTTCTTGCCTACACCTTGCTCTCCCTGCTTCTGTGTTCCTCTGCATGTTTCTAGTGTCCCCAGGAGCGGGGGGCGGGGGGGGTAAGAGTGGGGGTGCTCCCAGAGAGGGGCAGAGGAAAGAAAGCAACACGTTTTGAGCATTGATTGTGCCTGGCTCTCTGTGGGAACTTTGCAGATGTGTGTAACTTAGCCTATACAGCAACACCCCCAGAGGCTAGTTCCCCTACCATGCGCATGAGGAGACTGCCCATCCAGAGATTAAGTGCCTTGCCCAACGTTACATAACCAGCAAGTCTACAGGTTGGATTTGAACTCAGGTCTGTGAGACACAAAGCCAGTAGTCTCTGAGATGGGAACCATTTCTTTCCCCCGTTCATGTGCCCAGACCAGCATTCCTGTGCAGCACCCAAGCCTGGAGTGCCCGGGTGAGGGCTATGAAGCATCCCGTCCCCCAGTCCTGGCTGGCCGCAGGGCCCTGCACTGCTGTGCTCTTCGTCCTAGGAGAATAGCCCACTGCCCTGAGGAGGCAGGTCCCTGCAGAACCAGCTCCTCTCCAAACCCAGGTTAATCCCTTAAAAGGAATGCTTCAGTAGCTATGTAATTTGGCTCAGATGGGTGGCTTTTTCCCTGAACACGAGGGCTGATATTATCCTGTGCCTCTGCCATAGGGACAGAAGGGTAAGTAGGCATGGGGAGGGGGCCTGAGCTGTCAGAGTCCCAGGTTCAGGGGCCAGGGTGATGCCCTCTAAGGTCTTTAGCAGAACTGGAGCCTCTGAACCCTCAAGCTTGGGCCTTGAGACACATGCTCTTCAGCATAGACACAGGGAGCCTTGGGTGCCAGCCCTTTGCGGTCCCTGATTGCTGGGGCTTTCCCCGAGGAGTCTCAGCTGACTCGCCAACTCTATGGAGAAGACTTGTTAGCTGGAGTCCCTCTCTATCCCTTTGTAGGCCTGAGTGGAAGCAGGTAGCAGTTAAGAGCGTACAATCTGGAGCTGAATTACTGGGTTCGAATCCCGGCTCCACCTCTGACCAGCTGTATAACCTCAGCAAATTATTTAAACTCTGTGTGCCTCAGTACACATCAGTTTAATGGGCTTGTCATAATCAAATTGGATAATTTTTGAAAATCACTTATAAAACATGTATCAGGTGTGTTCTGTTTGTTAAATAAAAAATACCGTACATGGGCCCAGTGCAGGATGCTCTTGAACCCAGTTAGCCTCTTTCAGGCAGGAGCCTGAGAAAATGGAGGGAGGGGTCCTGCTGGAGGGAAGGGGTGAGCAGCTTGGTGGATAGAGGTGCAGCATGGGGCTTGGAAGAGTTGTGTGAGCCTGGGGGTGAGATGCCATAACCAATGCAGGGGTGGGGGTTCTAGGCAAAGAGAAGGGACAGGCAAGGGCCCTTCAGCTCCACATCCCCTTCTGTCCCCCTGAGGCTTGGAGGCAAATCAGAGCACGGGGAGGAGGAGAAGGAGGGCTGTTGGGGAAGACTACCAGGAGTTGGCAGAGGCCCTGGAGCAGTGCTGGTTCTTCCACTCGCAGGCTGTTTCCTGCGGAGGCCACTTCCCCTCTCTGCAGTTTACTTACCCTCCTGCTCTGAGGGTGGCCCTGAGCTCACGCCAGTGTAAAGACTGGTACAGCAGCAGCCACGAGAGGAAGGGGCATGGGCCGAAGCCACAGCAGGAGAGGAGGCTGAGGGAGGCGGGGAGAGGGCAATCCAGCAGAGGCTGCTGCTGGGTTCGCTCACCTTCACGCAGAGACGACAGAGGGGATGGAGATGAGACAAGAGGAAGGGCTGCCTGCTGTCAGCCCAAGTGGGCTGTCCAGAAGGAACCGAAGACAGGGTGGGGAAATGCCTGGAGTCAGAGAGGTGGGCACAGTGCCTTCCCCTAGGCCTGTGTGGCCTCTGGAAGTCACTGGAGCCACCCCCCTGCCCGCAAGCAGGAAGGCACAAACCAGTCCTTCCTCACAGAGACCCCAAGGGTCCCTGGTCAAAGCCAACCCCTGGCTGAAGGCAGGGAATGTGACAAACCCCCTTCCCCGAGGAGTAGCACCTGCATACCCCAGGAACATCACCCTGTACGCTCCCCTGCCTGGACTGTGGGCCCATGGGTTGGGGACCTGGGCTGCTCAGTTCTCTACAAAGCACACATCTCTCCCCACCCTGATCTGGGCCACCCAGTACCGTGGAGTTGAGTCACAGTGAGTTCTGCGCTTCTGGGTAGGTAGACCAGGGGTTTGCTCTCTGAGGCCCCTCCTAGAATTGCCAATGTGTCATCTAAGAGTCAGGGGGATCAGCCAGAATGGGGAGGAAGGGTCCCAGCAGCCTTGGGAGGGTGGTAACAATTAACCTGGCACCTCCCTAGCTAGGTCTTTGTTCCGAGACGGCGGAGCCTTTCTTTTCTGCAGGGACCGTCCTGGTGTGGGCAGGTAGTTCAGTTCCATTCCCACACACTGAGACAATAGGCAGCTCCCCCAGAGACAGCAGGGGAAGAGGACTGCCCCAGACCCCCCCACAACCAAAATACCCTCTGGCTGGACTGGCTGGCCCTCCATCTCCCAGAAGGCTAGTGCTATAGCATAGGGGATTCAGGTTAGACTGTAGGAAAGACTTCCCAGTGTAAAGGGGTTTTTCTGCTGCCTATGGGTGGAGGAAGGAGCCTCACATCTCTCCTCTCACCCCACCCTCAGTGTAAACACGGGCTCCTGCTTGTCAAAACGGAGTGAAGGTGGGGCGAGCAGATACCTCCCCCCCAACAAACTCACACACACAAGACAGAAACCTTCTTGACTTCCATCCCTACTGAACCTGTTTGGCTGCAACTATAGCAGACTGCAGGCTTAGGTCAGCTTCTAGCTGAACTTACCAGTCCAAATGGGAATCGAGCAGGGGAATGGCAGCCCACAGGGGCCATCATCCATCATTCCTGCTGGTGTTGTCACTGGGAATATCAAGGGGGACTTCCCAAGGGCGCCAGAGTGTCTCATGGAAAACTGGGGATGTGGGCAGGACAGAGAACGAGAGAGGAGGGCCCACCTGGCACCCAGATTCAGGAGGAACAGGGAACCCATGAAGGTCCAGAGTAGGCAGCCGCCATCAAACAGGTCTGTCTAGGAAACTTGGCCACCAAGCTGCTGAGTGACACTGGACAAGTCACTCGCCTGCCCTGGGCCCCCATCTCCTCCTCTGTAAATGAAGGGTACGGACCACCTGCTGCAAAAGCCTCTGCGCTGTGATTCTGGTCTTTCAAACTGTGATTCTGGGAGCTGGTGCCACCAGCAGGGGGCAAGAAGAGGCCCACCTACTCCCCTGTGGTCATGGGGAGCATCCCTGAGCCGGTCATCACAACATCCTCATGACAGCACCAGCCCGCACTGTCCAGAAGCCAGGCCCCAGCTTTCCCTCCACTTCAGTGGCCTACCCCGGCCCTGGGCACCAAGGGGTTAAGGGCTCCAAGAGGGGAGCAGTTGGCTCTCAGCCTGACAGGACAGGTGGTAGGTCAGGACAAGTGAGGAGCAAATAAGCAGAGGGCCTCTTCTGGAGAGAACAGGGGAGGCTTTTTGCAGGAGAGCTGGGGGTACGTCTGGGGACGGGCTGGGATAGCGTGGAAAGAGCAGTGCCCAAGAGAGACTGGAGCCTGAGAGGACAGGCAGGGAAGGGGAGAGGCAGCTAGAGCCCCAGGCTGGCTGGACTGGACTGGGTGGAGGGAAGAAAAGAACTCAAGGGAAACCTTACTAGCCTGCTGGTGGCTAGGATGGGAGCGGAGGACTGTGGGAGCCCGTGTAGCTGTCAAAAGGAGGGTGTGAAGGAGGCAGAGTTTGAGGGGAGCAACTGAGCCCAGAGCCGCCCAGTCTTTATCCTCAAGGAAAAACTGGCCTAACTAGAGGCAGAAGCCAGCAAAGGGCAGGCGTGCCCCAGGGCCCACAGTGACCCCAGAAGCAGACAGGCATATTTTGCAGTGGTTAAAAGATCCTAAACCCACCCTGGCTGGTGTGGCTCAATGGATTGAGTGCCGACCTACAAACAAAAAGATCACCAGTTCGATTCCCAGTCAGGGCACATGCCTGGGTTGCGGGCCAGGTCCCCAGTAGGGGGCGCGTGAGAGGCAACCACACATTGATGTTTCTCTCCCTCTTTTCCTTCTCCCTCCCCCTCTCTAAAATAAATAAAATCTTTTAAAAAAATTTTTTTAAAAAGACTCTAAACCCAAACTAACTGGAGTCCACACCTGGCCTCACCCCCTGCTAATTCTGTGACCTTGGGCAAGTTATTTAACCTCTCTGTGCCTTGTGTCCTCATCTGTAGAGTGCAGCTCATAACAACATCTCATTGGGTTGTGGGGGGATTTAATGAGTTAAACATGTTAAGCTTTAGAACAGGCCTGGCACCCAGAAGGAACCACGTTATCATTGGCTCTTATTATTTCTATTCCAAAGCACATCCCAAGCTCCTCTCGCAACAGCCCACAGAAGTGGGCAGGTGATATCATCCCCGACTTCTACCTCGGGAAACTGAGGCTTGGCAAGGCTACAGGTCCACAGTTGCCGGGAGGATTAGCATTAAAACATAACCAGGCCCTACCCGGCTAAGTTTCCAAAGCAGAATGAGACCAGGCTTGTCGAGGGGGGTGGCAGATGGGCCTCTGACACCACTCAAGCCCCAGGCAGGCACGAAGAGCATGTCACATTCACACCCTAGTTCCCCCTTCCCTCATCTAGCTGGCCCTGCTCCTCCCCTGGGAAACCCTCGCTCATTGGCTCCACCCTTCTCCGATTCCCTCCTTATCTCACTATCTTCAATTTGAACAATCTGTAGTTGGAGATGCCATCTGAGTGTACTGAGTGGCGGCCCCAGATAGGTGCACAGAGCAGATGAGCTGCCACGTCCCAGAGAAGCAACCCCAGTCGGGGCGCGACGGCTGGCCTGCCACCTCCAGGCCTGAGCCTGGCCCTCTCACAGAAGCCTTCCTGCTCCCCCAGGTGCAGGCCCTGGAGCAGCGCAACCAGCTGCTGGAGACCCGCTGGAGCTTCCTGCAGGGCCAGGGCTCAACTGCCTTTGACCTTGGCCACCTCTATGAGAAGTATGAGGGCCGGCTGCAGGAGGAACTGCGCAAAGTGAGCCAAGAGCGGGGACAGCTAGAAGCCAACCTGCTGCAGGCGCTGGAGAAAGTCGAGGAGTTTCGAGTCAGGTAGAGTGCACCCTCGGGGGCTGTGGGCAGGGACTGTGGGCAGGGACTGTGGGTGGAGACCGGCCTGCACTCAGGTGTAAGGTTCGGGTCACTCAAGCCAGAGAAAGAGGATACTTCTTTAGGGAACATTTCTTTGCTTCAGATGTACTTATTGAAGACCTGCTATGTGTCAGGCAGTATTCTAAATTTTGAGGGGATATGGCAGCGAATCAATCCACAGCTCCAAGACCCCCAAATAGTGACTCTTACAGGGAAGTCAGTCTTGTGATGTCTGACAGCGTGCTGGCCCCTGGGCACCATTGAAGCCACTGTCCCCAGTCGCCTCATCTTGTGTCCATAAATGCTCTTGCTCTTGCCCGCACATCCCACTAGCAATGCTAAAGCAAGAGATGGGCTCCTGCTTTGGATATGGCTTGGGATTTCCATCCTGACTGGGCTGGAAGGGCAGGAAGCAAGTGCAGGCAGAAGCCAGAAGCAGTGGGTTTTGGTAGAATAAAGAAGCAACCCTCTAAATGGGGTGTGTGCTGACCTCAGTGGGATCCAGGGAGATGAGGGGGACAGAGACGCAGCCTGCAATGTGTTTTTACAACTTTGGGGGGCAAGCTGGCAGGCAGTACAGCCCAGTGGTTACAGACCACTTGGATATAGACTGAAAGGGCTTTACTCCCTGACCCCCTCCCACCCTAGCTTTGTCACCTCAGTCAAGTTACTTAACACATGAACCTCAGTTTCCTCCTATGTGGAGTAGGAAGGATGATGGTTGATACCAACTAGGGCTGGTATGAGGAGGAAGTCGAGAATTCAGTGTGGCTGTAAATGGCCGCTCTTCTATCCCCTAGAAGGCTGAAGTGCTCCACACATAGTGCCGTCCTTAGCACAGGCTTGCTGAACTGAACCGGCCAGTCTAGAAAGGCAGAACATACACTTAGTTGGCTCAGAGGAGAGGTGACCCTCGCTGACCAGACAGTTGCCAGGGCTTCATGGACAAGGGGGCTGGGCAGAGCAGAAAGGCTATGCCCCTACACCCCCTCCTCCAGTCTGGTCTCCAGCCTAGGTGAGGGGAGGACAGGGTGTGGCTGAACTCTCCTCCCCTCCTCCAGCATCTGGGTCCTGCTCCAAACCCTGCTGACCTGAGGTGAGGCCTGCTATCTCCAGAGCAGCCATCCAGGCAGGGCTGGAGGGTGGGCGCAGCCATCCAGGGACCTGGGCTGGAGCTTAGCCTACCAGCCACCTCTCTGCATGACCTCCCTGCTCAGGCCACATTCAGAGGGCACTGTCCCATGGGACACTCTCCCCACTCTGGGGCCTCAGTTTCCTCATCTGTCCATCTATCTGGAACTTCCCATCCAACAGGCATGATCTGCAGCCCTGGCCTGGGCTGTTCCTCATGGCTAGGCCCCTCTCTGACCTGGAGGCCCCCTCTATCCCAGCCCTGTCCTCCCAGGTCATAAGGAAACACAGAGGGGATGTGATTGCCCATTCTGACCGTGATGAGGGAAATGGTGTTAGTGCAGCAGAATCGGTGACTCATTTCACTGATATCTAGTAGGTCTTTGGCCCTCTAACAATCAGAGAATGACAGAGTGAGGGGGAGGCCCTGGATCATACTTATATGGGGAAGGAAACACAGGCCCAGAGAGGGCAGGGTCTTGTCCTCAGTCACATAGCCATGCGTGCTAAAACCCATCCCTAATCTATGTCATCCAGAGTGAGAAGCTGCTCCCATGAGCCCAGCCAGATCATATCCGTGGAGATGTAACTTTGTAACTGGAAGTTCTGTACAAACACTACTTGTTTTAATCTGGCTCAGCCCCCTCATTTGGCCTGCTGCCTGGTTCCATCTGCTACCTGATTTTACTATTTAGGCTCAGAGCTTCCCTTCTTCTCTCTGGTAGGGAACCCATCTGAGTTGGAGGAAGCGAGGCTGGAGGGCTTCTGGGTCTGCAGGCCAGAGCCTGAAAAGCTGCAGCCTGGCTGTGCAAAGCCTGGGGGCCCCCGGGAGCCAGGAGGCGCCAGGCCAAGCCCTGAGGGGGAGGGGTGTGCCCTGCCTCTACAAGGCCGATGAGATCAGCTTCACTCTTAGAAATAAACAAGTCAGGGAGAGGGGGTGCTGTGGGTGTGACGAGCTGAACAGGGCTGAGAACTGGTGACTAGCAGAAGTCTGGGAGTGAAGTGAGGGATAGGGCATCACCTAAGCATCTGCAAGGATGGAGACTTCCCAAAGCTTTGATGTCGCTGGGACCCCAAGCATCAGCTAGCTGACCCTTCTATTTACCAAGAATGAAGCAGAAGCCCAGCTAGGAGGAACAGTTTGCCCAAGGCCACAGCGAGTGACTCAGGGACACTGCACACAGTTCAAGCTGTTCACTGCACAAGAGCATCTGGTTAAGGGGGTGAACTGGGGCTGAAATCCAGTGTAGTCAATGAGAAAGGAGGAGGGCAGGCTGCAAAGAAGGAGGAGAAAGGCAGTAAGGGGTAAGGGGGAGCCTGGCACCTCAGAGGGCCCTGGCTGGACAGCTCTGCCCAGGGTCCTGCCCCCAGACAGGCAGAACTCCACTACCCAGAGGGGAAGGCGGCAGGGAGGTTTGACCACCGGGCTTGTGTGAGGAGGGCCAGTCCATAAGGAGCTTCTTATACTGGGGCTCCTTGAACCCCTGTGCCCAGGGCAGAGAATTCCATAGAGAACCCCAGAATCAAGAAGGAAGCCAACGCAAGTCAGCCTAGCCCTGAGGATTCATGAGGGACGTGCAGAAAACCACCCACACTCTCTCTCTCTGCAATGAGGCCTCCCACGGTTTTGCTCTGACAATGCTGGAGGCCAAGGCAGAGGGGCTGCAAGCCTGGGTGTGGTGTCGGAGAGAACAGAGCTTAGGTGATAACAGTAGCAGTAGGTTTCATGGGTGTCATGCACCGGTTTTGAGCACTTCGTGGGTTTACTGATTTCCTTCTCACGACATCACTTATCATGACTGAGGTACACGTAATAGCTTATCCAAGGCCACACAGCTGGTTAGCAAGGAAGCAGGTTGGAGCCCAACTAGCCTGGCTCTGAGGCTCATGCTAAACTAGCAACCTCATGAGCCTCAGGCCCTTCACTGGGCCTCCGTTTCCCCATCTGTGAAACGCAACCAACGGGGCCTTCCTGGCTGGGGGTTCTGAAGGTCACAGGAGAGGGTGCACGTAGAGCTTCCTGGACACTTTGTTCTCTCTGGCAAGTTCTAGACTGCAGAACAGTCTCCCTAACCCACCCCTCCACCCTGCCACCATGACCTGCACCCTCAGAGCCCCCTGCAGACTTTTGGAAGCCAAGGCAGTGACCAGAGAGAGCGCACGGCACACTGAGTTTCAGAGACCCGAGTGCCCTGCAGGCTGCCGCCCCCCCGGGCCCCCTCCCCTCAGCTCCTTGGGAAGGGAGGTGGAAAAGAAGGCTTGCAGAGTGGCAGGCCAGCCAGCTGATGTGGGCGATGGCTGACGCTGCCCTGCTGTGAGGTCAGGGACTGGGCAGGCAGGCGGCTGTAATTAGAGCCACCAGTGATTCAGGCATTCCCTGGAGAGGAGGGAAGGCAACAGGAAGCCACAGAATCCCTGCATCCGCTGGGGCAGGCAAGGCTGAGCGGGGCGTCTGTGGCTGGTAGACACCCACCTGTGGGGCCAAGACATACGTCTTGACTAGAGGAAGAGGGTAAGGTCGGGGTCCAGGTGTCCCGTCTCCCGACCCAGCCGTGCCCTTGTTCCAAACTCGAGGTGCACTTGAGGAAGGAGGAAGCACAGCTGAGAAGAGGGAGGACCCACCTTAGTTGAGCACTGACTGTGCACGTCTGTCATCACATCGGGAGCAGACACACACGCACAGGCACCCAGGCACACCCCCGGTAGACCAGGATTCACCGAAGGAGGCATCGAGTTACCTGCCCAAAACCACACTGGGGGTCCACCGGGCTGCGAAGTCCACATTCTTCCCGTCTTCCCCCTGGAGGGAACTTGAGGGAAGGGTGTCCTACCATCTGGTAGAGGGGAGAAGGGTAGAGCTGCAGGGGAGGGCAGAGGCAGGAGAGGCTGAAGGGAGAGCAGGATGCTCAAACGCACAGTTTGTTAGCAACTGACACATCTGGGAGAGGAGATGGAAAAAAGGAGGGAACAAGCGTCAGGGTGGAAAGGCTACACAATCAGGAGAGGCTTTCTGGAGGAGGTAGATGTGGGCAGAGCCAGCAAGGGGACAGACACCACTGAGAGACGGCTGGCTGAGAGTCAGGGAGGAGAGCGGGTTGTCTGCTTCGGCAGAGCCAGTACCAGGGTGTTATGGGGAGGGACCCTAGAAGGAGTGGAGCTCCATCCACCTGAAAAAAGAATCATTTTTTTCCTAATTGTCCTAAGGCACCAAATGGGACAGGAGAAGCCCTAAGTCCCACCCTAGGAGGGTTAACCAAACCTCAAGCTCCCACCACATCCAGCTGAGCAGGCTCTCTCTCTGTGTTTCTCTCTCCCACCCTCCTCATCTCCCAGGTATGAAGACGAGATCTCCAAGCGCACAGACATGGAGTTTACCTTCGTCCAGCTGAAGAAGGTAGCCTGCCCAGACTGCCCCAGGGGCTCGTCCCCCATGGGCCTTCTGCCTGCTTTCCCACAGGAGCCCCAAGCAAAGCCCTCAGAGGCTTCAGTCCCAGGACCACAGAGAGATAGCTGTCCCCACCCTGCCCCCCGTCCCAGGCCCTGAGCCAGGTCTCCTCTGGGAATCACCCCCATCCCGCTCAGGAAGCAAAGGCCCCTACACAGGTCCTGCCCTGGGACCCCTCGCCTCCCCCTCCCTTCACTCACCACGGCTCCCACCCCCAGGATCTGGATGCAGAATGTCTTCGACGGACCGAACTGGAGACCAAGCTGAAAAGTCTGCAGAGCTTTGTGGAGCTGATGAAAACCATCTACGAGCAGGTGAGAAGACAGGCCACTGTCCCGCCGGGCCAGGAACTGACTGGTCCATGGCCAAGGGGTACAGGGAGGGTGGGAGGTCCAGTGGCGCATGGAGCCTTCATAGGCACTGCTTCTGGCCACAGTTGTAAGGATTTCCTAAACCCCTGCTTGCATTGCTGTTGATAATCCGACATGTCCCCTCATCACTTATCACCCAGGGAGGGCCCATGCCTTCGTTGTGCTGAAGTGCTAAGGGCATGTAACGAACCAGGTCAAGGGTCACCTGGACAAGGGTCAGGAGGTGGCCTCAGAGCAGGGAACCAGAGGGCCTTGAGCAGCCATTCTTACTGAACTAAACTCTCTCTGTTCCTGCAGCCTAAATTGAGATGCCCACAGTTCCAGCTCTGATAGTCAGACACTTCACTCTTCCCTGTTTAGGGCCAAGGCAGGGAGGACCTACAGTCAGATTCTCTGGTTCCCAGGCAATAGCTTCTACCAAACAAAAATGACACAGTAAATGCAGACAGAGGAGTCTCCAGACACAGTCTCGTTTGTCCCTAAGTCCTTGGCTGAGCTTGGGGGACTATGGCCCAGCGAGGCTAGCACACTGCCAGTGCAGTCAGCAGACGGGCCCGGCTGCCAGCCTCCGGCATGGCCCCTCCACTCCGCTCTGCCTCTTGGGCATCCTTTGGGACACATGTTCTCCCCTCCACGCCTCCTGTTTCAAGGGTGAGGAGGTATAGGGGTGAAGCTTCAATTCAGCTGCAAGTACCATTGTTGGGAATGACAGGACTTGGCAGTCCATGTACTGCAGACTGCCCTGGCCGGTGTGGCCTCATTGGTTGGAGCGTCATCCCCTAGACTGAAAGGTTGTAGGTTCAATTCCCAGATAGGGCACATAGCCAGGTTGTGCGTTTGATCCCCAGTCAGGGTGCATATGAGAAGACAATCAAGTTGCTGTCTCTGTCTGTCTATCTATCTATCTATCTATCTATCTATCTCCCCCTTCCTCTCTCTCCTCTAAAAACAATGAAAGAATGTCCTCAGGTGAGAATAAAAAAAAATTACATACTATTTTGGCCCCGGCCAGGTAGCTCAGCTGGTTAGAGCATCATCACAACCAATACACCAAGGTTACGGGTTCAATCCCCAGTCAGGGCACATACAACAACCAACCAATAAATGGATCAACAAGTAGAACAACAAATTAGCATTTCTCTCTCTCTCTTCCTCTCTCTCTCTAAAAATCAGTTCAAAAATTTAAATGTAAATGAGAAAATCATAAATGTTCAGAAGGAATACTGCAAACTGCTTGTTCCAAGCTATGGCAAGACAGGCAAGGTCTGAGCAGAGATGGGAGTTACCACCGCAGTCAAAAAGTTCTGCTAGAATGGCTCTGGGGGCTGCTGACCTCACCTTCATGGCCTCACTCTGTGGGGAGGGAGATTGGGCGTCATGGCTGCCCATGGGCCACACTTCCTTCCAGCAGGCTCAGTCCGTAGTGGGGCTGCCCTGAGCCTCAGACATGTTCGTGGCCAAGGGAGGCAGCAGAGCAGAGAGAACAGCGCAGCCCTTGGGGACAGCAGGAAGGCAGCCCTTTCAGGCAGACTACCCTCACCAGCCACGCTAAGGAGCTTCATGTCCCTGGTAGAGCCCTCCGCAGCCAGGCCAAGCCCTATGTGGCACCACTGACTGGCTTAAGAAGTGAGTTAGGGGTCCCTCTGCCCAAGTTCACTATGGGTGCAGCCCAGACAGACACCAGCAGGACCGATGTTTCCTAAGCTGCCCTCCACTCTGCTCACCCACATCTCAGCAAGCCCAGGGCCCAAACTCTGAGCCAGGAGAGAGGTCCTACAAGTAGGAGATATAACCAGCCATACATCTGAGCATTGCCTTTGTCACAGCAACGAAATGTCTCCGCTCCTGCTCCATTTAGACTTTGCAGCCCTTGGACCCCTGTCCTGACTCTACCTTTTTAACCATTTCTGTGACTTTGGGCAAGTTATTTCTCTGCTCTGTGCCTTAGTTTCCTCATCTAATAGTAGCAGGCTCATAGGGCTGTGATGAGGACTAAATCTATTCATTCATTTAACAAACATTCATTACGCGCCTGCTAGTGCCAGACACCGCTATCACGGCAAGAGAGCAAGACGGCCGTAGTCCCTGCTCTTAATGGGCACAGCTTAGCTAAGGCGACAGGTAGTAAGCAACTAAACACACATCTGAACAAGATTATTTTGGAGGGTGGAAAGTGCTGGGCCGCAAAGAAACCAGGTGATGCAATCGTGCTGGAGGGAGGGGAAAGCTTTAGACCCAAGGTCAGGGGGCGTCTCTGAGGAGGTGCTAGTGAGGCCCAAGGCAGGACCATCCAGCCCAGTGGAGATGTGTGGGGGCTTCAGGCAGAAGGAAGAGCTGAGTGAAGCACCGGAGGCAGAAGAGAGTCTGGTGGTAAAAGGGAAAGAAAGACGCAGCCATGGCTAGGGCAGAGCCAGCGGGGGCCACACCATGGAGGGCCTCGGACCCTGAGCCGGGCTTTGGACCTTATCCTAACTAAGTGTGACAGGAAGCCCCGTGGATACGGGGAGGGGTGCTGCGGAGACGGTGAAGGGTCTGGCTGTGCTCTCGTCAGGTGCCTACAGAGAAGGGACTGCTCAGGGCCTTAGGGCAGTTCCTGTGACACTGGGAGGCAGCAAGGTGCAAGCTGGTGTTGGGACCCGAGGCTGGCGTTTCTCCCGGCGCCGCTCAGACTGAGAAGGCAGTGCTGGCCCTGTGCTAAAAGGGTTCCCACACCGGTGAGTCTCTAGGTCGGCACTAATAGAAATATAATGTGGGCCACATGTATCGTGTATTTTGAGTAACTTTATACATAAGTATATAATTTAATAATATATAATTTTAGGTTTTCCAGTGGCCACACTTTTTTAATGAAACAGGAAAAATTCATTTTAATAATACATTTTATTTAACCCAGTGTATCTAAAATGATCATTCAACACGTAATCAATATTTAAAAATTAAAGGGCCATGTTGTATTCTTTTTCTCATAGTAAGTCTTCAAAATCCTATGCATATTTTACATTACAGCGCATCTCAGTTCTGACTAGCCACGAGTCAGGTGCCCACAATTGCATGTGGTTAGTGGCCACCACACCAGGCAGAGCAGGCCTAAGCAAAGGAAGGAGCCAGCCCTGCCACCTCAGGTGGAAGAAAAACATGGCAGACCTGAGTAGCCTCAGGAGGGCTGGACACTCTGGTTTCAACTTTGGAGCAGACACCAGATCAGCAAAGCATGGGCTACTCATGTGTAGGGCCACCTCTGTGTCCCAGGAAACGGCTCTCTCCTCTCCCCAAAACACACACACACACACACACACACACACGCACGCACGCACGCATGCACGCACGCACACACGGGCAGGGCTAAGGCCTGAAAGCCTTTCCCAGGAGCCAAAAGCCATGGGCTGCTTGGAGCTTCATCTACACACAGCAGCCTCCTGGGCAATCCCCCTGCCCCTCACTCACCTCCAGGGACACAAGCTGGTGAGAGAAGCCTAGGCTGGCAGAGGCTTTGTCCCTCAGCTTCCAAGGTACGTTCCAGCTCCTGAGTGCATTTGGGGCCTGGCTGCAGCCAGCCAGAACGCCGCCTGCTCCACCCACAAACTCTGGTTCCAGGGAGATTAGCTGCAAAATCTGAGGACAACCCCCTGCTGCCAGGCACACCTCCCGGGATGCAGATTGCTGCAGAGAGAACCTGCCGCATCTAAGCTGCTCTGGCGCCGGCTCTTTTGTTGCCTTGGGGAGTCTGCTCAAGGAACCGGCTGCGCTGCCCCTGAACACTTCCCTCTGGCTCCATTACCTTCACAAGTTGCAAAAGTATCCGCAGCTCCTGTTTATTGAGGGCCTACTATATCCCCAGCACCCTGCTAATAAGTGCTTTCCAGACATAATCTCATTTAATCCTAACAACTCCATGAAGTAGGAGTAATGATTAAGAGAACATGGTCATTAGAGCAGCTTGGATTTAAATCCTGACTCAGTAATTACATGAACTCGAGCAGGTTCTTTCCTCTCTCCGTGCCTCAATTTCCCCCTCTATAGAACAGGGAGAATAGTAACACTTAGCTCACTGGCCTGTTGTGAGGATTTGTGGTTACTCTATCCCAAAGTCCTCAGAACCATGTCTGGCACATGGTATTTGTAAACATTAGCTTTCTTCGGTTCTATAATTGCACCCATTTTACAGATGGGAAAAACAAGGCTCAGGTTTAAAAAGTTGGCTAGGATTACCATCTTATAGGAAGTGGCGGTATTCTGAGCCCAGGGCCATTACTACATTCTACCGAGCAGCAGTAAGTGACCCCTCAGAGTTACCATGTGCCCTGACCTGGGGGCCTCAAGGAGGGTGGCACCCATGAGGAGGGATGACCACCCCCTCAGGCTCCGGTTCCCTAGAGAAGCTCTAAACTGTGCTTCAACTTAATCCTGCCAACTTGGAGGTGCACATCCTCCTGGGGGCCCATCCCATGGTGGCACTTCCATGCCATACAAGGCAGCATTGTTATACCCTTTGCTGCCCCGGGGCAGACTGGCATGTCTGAGCAGGTCAGCAGATGTTCTAAACCCTCCATTTCCTGCTTCTGTTTACCAAGCTTCTGCACACCCTGCCTCCTTCCAGAAGGGCTCTCTGGCTGCTCCATCAGCTCTCTTGCTGATCCTTTCACACTGCTGGGGAAGCCCTCCTCCAGAGCATTCTGACAGTATCCTGGGATTTTCCTGAACCGTAAGGAAAGCCATCCCCTAGGCCTGGGCTAGCAGTGCCAACAGAGGCTTTATCTACAATCCCACATGCCCAACACACTGACCAAGGAAGCCCAAAAGTCCATCTCTGAAACTGTCCACAGCCAAGCAATCCTAGCCAGGATGTCGGTTCCATGTGGGAAATGTCAATATGCAACGGTGACCAGGAGCGGCACAGGTGGGGCGTGAGTCTGTGGGCACCATTAACCTTATTCTCGCGCAGGTCCAGCCCTCCCTTGCTGTTGCCCAGCGATCTCTGTTCATGTCAAGGTCAACCAAAACCCCTTGTCAGGAGACCCCCCAAGGGGCAGCTGGCCACTGGGCTCAGGGTCCTGCCAGCTTCAGGGCAGAGACAGGGCGCTCCCAGAGGGGCTGCAGGATGCCTGCCACTGCCCAGGCTTCCTTCTCCAGGAGCCAGGCCTTGTCACCAGCAATGCTAGCGGACAGGGGTGAGTAGTGAGCAGGCAGGGGAGGGCCAGCTTCCTTCGGCTGGCCTCCGCAGCTGCCCCCGTGGCTCTAGCTGACCCACCTGCGCCCTGCAGTCTATGGATATGGGGTACAAGCCGCAGGTCAGAAGTACCCGCCTCAGCAGGTACAGACTCCCACAGCTCAATCACAACCCCTTGAGCATAAAGACAGAGAGAGGGTCAGCAGGGGGCCCAAAGTCAGGAAACAGTCAGAATTCGGTCATGAGCCAACAACCGAAAATGCATCGGAGCGGGCCTCCAGATCCGGCTGCCAGTTTTCAGAAATGCAGGGGGCGGAGGAGTCTGGTAACACCAGCACACAGAGCAGGCAGTAAAATCCAGGCTGTGGGAACCACAAAGCAAGTACCCCATGTTTTCAATTTTAAAAAATAACAAGAAAAAAAAACCAGAGACAGAGAGAAAGAGAGAGGTGATGGAGGTATCTATTATACAATAAGAGAGACTTAGAGACATATGGACCAATGGTAGTGTATGGACTTTGTTTGGATCCTGATACAAACAAACAAGTAAAAAATATGTATCTATCAGAAAAATAAGATCACTGACCGAAATGTGATGACTGACGTAGCAGTCAAGGATGGACGGTGAACACCAGTAGGAGTAACTTCTGCACCCCATGCCCCCCTCCTCCAAGAGAGCTTCACCTCCGCCCCGGGGCACCTGGCCCCCTCCCTGGCTCTTGGATGTCTTGACCCCCTGTCTCGCTCTGTGCAATACTGGCCTCCTCCTCCTTCCCACTGGAGCTGGAAGTTCTTTAGTACCTCTAGGGAAAGCAGCCCAGGGCCAAAGAGGGGACACCTTGCAGCCCCTAATGAAGACCCCTGTCCCCACCTGCCTCTCTACACACCCCTGAGCATTCGGGCGATAAGCTGTCAGGTGTGATAGGAAGAGGCAGTTTGGAGCTAGACAGATAGACAGCGGCGTCTGCCCCTGTCTCCGCCCCTCTGAGGGAGCTTAGCAAGAGCAGCAAAGGGCTCTGAGGTCACAGCTGTTTCCAGAACCTCTTGGTGCCGCAGTTTCTTTCCTGTCCATGATGTGGGGCTTTCACTCGTGCAAGCCTGGTGAGGATGAAATGTGAGGCTGCCCAGAGAGTGCTTAGCACACAGCCAGGCCTGGAATGAGCTCCCAGGGAATGGGGGGCTTTACCACTCCCAGGGGTCTCAAGGATGGAGGCTGGCATTTTCTGAGCAGAAAAGAGAACAGAGAGGAAGGACAAAGAAGGATCATAAAGGACAGGGAGAAGATGAAAATATTGAGGCTAAGTCGCATTGTTGTTGCCCAGCAAGCCCCTCAGCTACATGGGGAGGGGCAGTGAGTTTCAGGGTGACCGTGACATCACCTGGCCTCAGCCTCTGGCACGGGGTGGGCAGCACAGGCTTGTTAGCCTCTAGCTCCACTGCTTTATAGGTTTCCATTCCAACATTTATTCAACAAACTGAGACGCTCCCTTGCCGGTTGTTGGGGGCCTGGGGATGAAATGGCTCTGCCAGACCCTCAGGAAGCTCCTCGTCTAGGGAGAGAGGCTGAGCTGCGCACCACTGAGCCACAGCGGTGCAGCAATGAGCGGAGGGAACCACTGCCCCAAGCCCAGACGTCCCGGGCCTCTTCCCCATCGGCCAGAGGGAGGTGTGCACCCTGGGAGTGGGCCACGGTGCGGAGAGTGGGGAAAGTGGAGAAGAATAAGGCCTTCAGGGTGGGCCTCTGGAGCCAGGAGACCTCCCTGAACCCCTCCCCTCTGCCCAGAGAGGGAGGCCACAGTGTGTGTGAGTGGCATGGCGAGCTGCCTCCGCAGAGTCTGGGAGGCAGGCATGACGGGAAGGCTTCCATGCTTTGATCGCCTCTCCAGAAAGACAGAGTAGCCCACCCTCTACTCACCCTGGGGATGAAGGGACTGTGAGGGTGCCCCACCAGCCCTGAACCCTCCACATCTGTGCCCGGCCAGGAGCTGAAGGATCTGGTAGCCCAAGTGAAGGATGTGTCGGTGACCGTGGGCATGGACAGACGCTGCCACATTGACCTGAGCGGCATCGTGGAGGAAGTGAAGGCCCAGTATGACGCCATCGCGGCTCGCAGCCTGGAGGAGGCTGAGGAGCACTCCCGGAGGCAGGTCCGTGGCTGAGCACGCAGGCCAGGCATGGCCACCAGGACGGTGTGGGGCGGGGGCTGCACTAGTGATGGCTGAGGTCCCCTTCCAGCGTGTGCTAAGCCTCTGGAAAGGGGAATGGGGAAGCACGGGGGCGGGAACCCACAGCAGTTGGGTCGGAGGCAGGTATGGGGAATTCGAGAGCCCAGCATGGAGAATTTGAGAGCTCAAAGTCGTTCCAGACCCCGAGGGGTGATGGGGTCTGGGAAAGCCCATAGTCTGTACCCTGCAGAAGCTCAGGACGGTGCTGCCACCCAGAAATGCTGGGCTGGGTGTGAGCACAGCTTGGGGGGCTCCGTCTGGGGCAGCCAGTGGGAGGATGTGGTGGGGCCTGCGGAGCGGGATAGGAGGGGGAGGCTGGCCTGCCGTGGTGGCTGCAGAGGAAGGGGGCCGAGGATGGGAGAAAAAGGAGCAGCAAGGGGCCAGAATCAGCAGGTGCTGGGAGGGACACAACAAACAGCCCCTGACCACCCTCCTCTGCGCCCTCCAGCTGGAGGAGCGGGCCGCCTGCTCAGCCCACTTTGGGAACAGTCTCCAGAGCAGCCGCAGCGAGATTGCTGACCTCAATGTGCGCATCCAGAAGCTCCGATCCCAGATCCTCTCCGTCAAGAGCCACGTGAGTTCTGGAGGACCCACCTGGGGGTGGAGCAGGGAGGAGGAACACAGGGACAAGCATTATCTGTCTGTCTCTGTCCATCTGTCTGTCTGTCTCTCTCTCTCATGCTAAGTATATGCATGAGGAAGTGACCTAAGAGACTTGGGCAGGTCACTTAGCCCCTCTGCGCCTCAGTTTCCTCACCTGTTCCACTAAGATGGTTATGAGAATCACATGAGCTTGCATGTGAAAGCGCTCTGTAAACTGGCCAGGGCTGTTGGGACGGTAGAGAGCCCCCACCGCATACACCCAGAGCCCACCACCTCCTGCCGGCTATACAGAGAGAAGGGAGCGAGGCCTACGCTCCAGTTTCCAGCCAGGATGAGCTTTCAGAGCACTTGCTGCCCTGTAAGAACAGCTGGGACAGGCTCCTCTGGTGACTTGGGGTTCTTCCCTCTTTGGAGATCTTTGGAAAGTGTCTTCTTAGGTCTCTCTGAACTCCCTTTTGCTTGAGTGCAACCCATTACCACACACAGGAATGGATTCCTTAGCCCTCTCTCCCCACCCCCACCCCCACCAAGGACAGAAGTAAGGTCCTGGCCCTGGCCCTCTCTCCCCCCACGCACCCCTGCTCACTGACCCCTTCCCTCTGTTCTCCTGGCTGCAGTGCCTGAAACTGGAGGAGAACATCAAGGAGGTCGAGGAGCAGGGTGAGCTGGCCTTCCAGGACGCCAAGGCCAAGCTGGTCCAGCTAGAAGAGGCCCTTCAGCAGGCCAAGAAGGACATGGCCAGGCAGCTCCGGGAGTACCAGGAGCTCATGAACACTAAGCTGGCCCTGGACATCGAGATCGCCACCTACCGCAAGCTGGTAGAGGGCGAGGAGAGCAGGTGAGGGGTGGACACAGCGGAGTGGAGCTGGGGGCAAGAGAGAACCTGAGAACCAGCCCCACACAAAGCCAACCTCCCGCTCCAGCATGATGCTGTGTGCCTGGCAGGCCTGGGTTCATGTCCTGGCTCAGTCACTTACACATTAGAACGTTGGCCCAGCTCCCTAAATGCTCAGTTTTTCTATCGTGAAAATGGGCTCATCATAAACATGCCCCACCTGGGCAATTAATATGATTCTGCATGCAAATGCCTGTCTCAAATAAGTGCTCGGTAAATGTTAGCCATTCATCCAGGGGAGAGGAGACAGAGGCCCAGAGAGGGCAAGCTGGCTAGCCAGGTTCACACAGCAAGGCAGCCCAGGACTAGGAGTGAAAACCAAGAATTGCCCTCTACCTGCCAGTCCCCAGACCCCCAAGTCCAGGGGAACATAAGCCTTCCCATCCCACCATGTTCCTCCTTTCCCAGGATGGACATGCCTTCAGCCACCATGGTCAGCACTATGCAATCCAGGTCCAGAACTGGTGAGTCTGCTTGCCCCATGGTGGTGAGGGAGACAGGGTGTGGGGCCCATGGCCCTAAAGGCATCATCTTAAGTGGCTCCCAAACCTCCAGCCCCTTCCCTCCCCCACCCCTTATGTTCCCTGTAGCTTCCTCCAAGTCCCGCCTTACAAGAGCTCCCTCTCGGAAGAAGAAGAAGAACAGCAGAGGCCCCGTGATCAAAATCACCGAAATGTCAGAGAAGTTCCTCTTGCAAGAGTCAGAGGCCTCGGAGTAAGGCAGCTGGACCCCAGGGGCCCCAGGCCACTCCCCTGCAGCAGGAGAGTCTTAAGTTAGACTCAAGAAAGCAGTTTGGAGCCTCCAGGTTGGGAGGGGAGGCAAACCTGATTCTGAACTGAGATGATCTCAAAACAATGAGTGTTTTCTTGTGGGTGCCAGGCGTGGGACAGAACTGTCACCAGCTATTCAAAGTCACTCCACTCCATATCAATATCTCACAATCTTACCCTTCCAACCTTCTGGCCATATGTTTCCTGACTGGATAAACTGGAGGTGGGGTCAGTTTTATCTCCACCTTCTCACTCCTCTGAGACTCCTCCCCAACAGAGGGCTCCGGCCAAGGTCTCTTTGACCCTTTTGCCCAATCCTTGCCCTAAACTCACATCTCAAGCCTTGCCTTGCCTCAGCCTCTGTACCAAGCTCATGACCTCACCCAGCCCCAGCCACAGGCCAGGGACTGGTGAAGACTGCTTCCCCCCACCCCCATATCTGGAGCTCCTGGTGGGGGCTGGGAGCTGGGTACCCCTGGCTTTCCTGCACTACCTGGGCTCCCCAGAGAACTGAGAGTATTAGGGAGTGAGGGAAGGAGGCACCATGGGTGTTTAGGACCTGAACTTGAATCTCTGAGACCAGCCCAAACACACCTGTGCTCCCTCCCTCCTCCTGTGGGGTCCTCCAAGTAGGTCAAAGTCAGAAATGGACAGGCTGCCCAAGCAACTCCCAGCACCTTCTCCAGCAGCTATTCTTGCCATGATGAACCCCCTGGGAGAAGGCTGGATGGCAGCCTGAGACCAAGAAGGAGAATAAGACCCTCCCTTCCCCTCCCTGCCATCCTGGGGCTCACCACCTCGCTGGGATCTCAGCTCTCTGCACCCTCCTGCCCCGCCCAGGTGTTCCTCAGCCTGAAACCTGACTTTGTTGTACCAGGCCTCTAACCCCACCCCTGCCATGAAACCCTAGGCTCATTTCCCATGAACCCCTTCTCAGGCTCCCTGTTCCCTCCACCAGGCCAACAGCCTGGCCCTGCCCTCCTCCGCATTCATTGAGGTGCCCAAGCGCACCCTATACCTGTAGGGTTAGAGCTCCTTTTCTTCCCCCTCCACCCTCCTCCTTCCCTGCCCACTCAGCAGGGCTATGATGAAGGCACAGTCCAGGGAGATCTGAGAGATTCTGAGCTCTTGAGATCAGGCTGGGGAGCCCCAGTGACAACCAAAGAGAGAGTCTGAATCCAACAAGATTTGGGGCTGGGGGAGCGCTCCTCTTTTTTCCTCTTGGCTCTTACCTTTGGAGATCGCAGGGAGATCTTGACAGCTCTAAGCCTTCCACACTGCAAGCCACCTCCTCTGTTTCCCCTCTTCTCCTTACCTGTCCCTTGCTTCCCCTCCTCTTCTAGCCCCAGTCTTTGATTCACTCATCTCCTTTTCCAGGTAGCCTTGGCTCCCCCTAGGCTCAAGGTCCTCCAAGCCTGTGGAGGGAGCTGAAGGGCTACTAACGCTCTCGAGCTGGAGGGACCTCAGACATATACTTGTCCCTGAAGTCCCAAAAGGGTGGTGATTGCTGCTTCTTCTCTGCCTATTTATTGGTTTCAAGGGATGAAAGCCTCAGTGGGGATACAAATATATAAAATATATTTTTTTCATAACTTATGTGGCTTTTAACTTATTGCTTCTGTTTCTGCATAATCAGTGCTATATATTATTTGAATAGATAACACATATCCCAGCCACCCCACCCAACTGGCTGACTACTCCGGGGCAAAGCCCCCTTCTCCCTGCCAAGGGATGAATAAAGTACTGAGATTTGTTCATGGATAAAGCTATGTGTCTATTTTTATCTCCAGTCTTGGGATTGGTCAGTCACTGGTCAAACAGGTTGACCATAGGACCCTGGGAATTCTCCAGTTATGGGGAAAGGGGGCCAAGGACCTAGTTACACGTTCAGACCAATGCAACTTGGACACAGAAGGTCTCCTGTCCCACCATCCTACAAGGAGGCTATACCAGTGTTGACCTATGTTCCCAGTGTCTCCTGACATATCCAGGCACCACGTGGCTGCCTTAGCAAGCATATCAACAAAGGGATTCCTCCTGGCAGTGGCAGGTTCTTTCTAAAGCACCACGGTGGGGTTGGCACAGCCCAGAATATATTTTGATGAGTACTGGCCTAATCCTGCCAAACCAAATGCTAGGTCCACAAAGAAGAACTGAGGACTTTCTCCGAGCCCAGCACTTCACTAGCATACCTACAGTTGTTCCCCACCCCTCTACCTCAGGAAGCTAACAGTCAGCTTGAGAGAGAAGCTATCTACTCAAGATAGCCATTCGGGACTTCCTAGCCAAGTGAAGAAGGTCAGAGAAGACAGAGGCTTATGCAGGAAACCTGAGAATCAGAGCAGGTTACCTGAAGGGAGTGGGGCTTTAAGTGAATGTGAAGGAGTGAGATAGGCTGAAGGAAGAGCAGGTTTCTCAAAGACAGGAATGTTGGGGGCAAAGAAGGGAAACACTGAGACCTCAGACAAATGAGCCTCGGTTTCCTCATCTGTAAAATGGAGCATAAACCTTCCCTACTTACTTAACAGGGCATTTGAGGATCTGAAGATACTTATGTTCATTCCTATCAGAAATGGCACATCTCTTGCTTCCAGCACTCTGACCTGTAACAGCTCAATAAATGTAAAGGATTATTAGTGATGTTATTGTTATTACAGCAGATATTATAGATTAAAGACAACCCTCTTGCTCAGAGACCAAATACAGGTAAATGGGCCTCAGGCTGGCTCTCTCAAGACTCAGGAGAAACAGTTGGATGAACCTCATTCCCATCCAGGAGGGGCCCAGAGACAAGATCAACTCTACTTATTTTATCTTTATTTTAAATTCCATTTTCTATTCTAATTTCTGAATACTAATTTGAATTTCTGAATCTGAATATGAATTTCATTGTAAAAAATATATAACACTTTAGCCCTGGCTGGTGTGGCTCCATGGACTGAGCGCAGTGCTCTTCGATTCCCATCAGGGCACACGCCTGGGCTGCAGGCCGGGTCCCCTGTCGGGGGCACGTGAGAGGCAACCACACATTGATGTTTCTCTCCCTCTCTTCCTCCCTTCCTCCCGTTCTCTCTAAAAGTAAATAAATACAATCTTTAAATATATATAACACTTCATTATTCCCTTCTTTCTACTTTCTTTAAATTTATTATTTTTATCATTGTCCAACTTCTGGAGTTGAAGATTTAATTTTCCAGCTTTCTTCTTTTTCAATATAGATTCTCTGAAGACCATAAATTTCCTTTTAAGTACTCTTTTGACTGCTTCCTATTGTTTTCATATGTAGCATTTTTACTAGCATTTAGTTAAAATGATTTTATTCTTTGACTCATAAGTTATTTAGAAATTTCTACAAACATGGGTCATTCATGTCACAAATGTTTATTGAGCACATACTTAGTCTGTGCCTGGCCCTGCTCTGGATGTGCTTAGGGAGACATTAAATTTGTCCAGCATTTATCTCTGTATCTTAGACTTCCTAAGCCTCTACGTTAGCCATGCCTCAGTTGCCTATTTTTGTGCTTCTACCCCCAGAAGACCCTAAACTCCTTGGGGGCAGGGGTTGCTTCCCTTTACATCCCCAGGGCCTTGAAAGTGCCTGGCCTGTAGTAGGTTTTCAATAAATGTATAATGAAGAAAAGAATGAGTGAAAGATGTTCCTCCCCAACAAAGGTCTCCTAGTCTAAATGTCCCAATGAGGGCCTATCTCCTTGACCTTTGTATTCCCAGTATTATCACAATGTGTGACTCATTGAAGGAGCAGTTAAGACATGCTAAATAGAAGGAAGGAAGGAGAAAGGAAGGGAGAGAGGAAAAGGAAACCACAATTTTTCTACCTAAACAAGGAAACCCTCCTGCCCCTCTCCTGCTGCAGGTCCTGAACAGTTCTCCGGAGGCAGGGAGGCTGAGTCCCCTCCTTGTGCAAGCCCCCTCCTGCCCCCTCCTGCCCCCTCCTGCCCCCTCCTGCCCCCTGGAGTAATCCAGTGAACACCTGGCCAAGGGTGCCGCTTATTTTTGCGCTCTGAGCACAACAACAAAAATAAGCCCCTACCTGGGTTTGGGTTTTTCTTCTCCTAGATCCCCGGTCCTGCCAACCACCTGCGAGATGGGCAGAAAAGGTATCATTAGCTGTGGCCCAGAGAGGCCAAGCTCTGTAACTTTGGTCACCCAGCAAGTAAGTGGAAGCATTTTGGTTGCACAGAACCACATTTTTTACCTGCAAACTGCCTGCCCTGGGGGCAGTAAAAATGACCAAACCCAGGAGTGGGGAGGTGGAGACTGAAGGCCCCACCTCCAAACACAAAGGGCGGGGTTGAGCAGGTACTTAACAGCTAGTGCCCAGCCTGTGTACCTCCCCCCCCCGCCCCCCAAGCTCAGTGTGGAAAATCAGGGCTCAGAAGTCCTGGGCAGGACTAGCAAGTCAGCACCCTGGTGGCTCCAGAGAGACCCTTTTCTAAGGCCCTGTGTGCTAGGGGTTGCTGCACAATGTCCCCTCCTGTCCCTTCTCCTGGTCCATTTAGGCCTGAAGAAAAACAGCTAGAAGGGAAGTAGTCCTTGTGTTTGGGAAGCTCTAAAGGCTGAAGAATGAGGTAGAACCAGAGATACCTAGGCAGAGCTTCAATACCCCAGCACCAGGGCTGCGGACCAGCGGGGACACTTTAGTCAAAAAGGGCTTCCTGGAGGAGGGGAGGGAAGTGGCCGGGAAAGAGGGGGTGTTAGGGCTGGCAAGGAAGGAGAGAGTGGCAATGGCCTGGGGGAGGAGCAGGGAGCAGATTTGCTCAGCCTCCAGCCTGGGCAGAGAGCAAGCTACAAGTTGCCAGGCGCGAGCTGTGGAAGCCTGAGTTGAAAACAAGAAATACTATGGGAGCATGTGTTGTAAAGTGGAATAACCCTTAAGCCCCAACCAGGAGATAAATCAGCTGTGTGCAGGGACTGTGTCTTATTCAACCGTGCACCCCACTGTCTAGCAGGGTGCCAAGCATGCAGTCGGTGGTTACTAAGCGCTGGATAAATGAAGGGAGGCATGGATGGTGGGGATTGCAGCTACTGAGGGATGAGAGGTTCACCCGTCACAAAGGACTTTGTGGGCACCTGCTCTGTGCCGCACCCTGTGCTAGACACAGTGGAGGAGGTAGGAGGAGATAAAGGGGACAATGGGGTCCTTGCCCTCAAGGGGCTAGGGACTTCTGGTTTCTGTCCAAGATCCTGCTCCCAGTCCCCTGTTAAGCTAAAGTGCCCTCTGTTGTGATCAGAAGCCACATGCTCTCTGTGGGACCTCGGTCAAGGTATGTCCCTTCTCTGCAGCTCTTTCTTCACCTGTAAAATAAAGGGGTTAAAGAAGTGCTCCTGCAGATCCCTGCTGTGTCAACACCTTGACAGCTGCTGTCCCCTCCCGGCTCCCCACAATTCCCTAGGCAACAAGCCTGCGGGCTTCGAGCTGTGTGGTCTTGGCAACCTCCCGGAAATAGAGTACCTGCCTCATAGATAAAGAAATCATGCACAATAAAAAAATAAAAATAAAAATTAGCACCATGCTTGGTTCAGGCTAAATGCTTAAAAAAAATAACAGCAAACATGCTCATTGTAAGAGCCTTTCCCCTCATCCCCACGGAGTGGCTACACAAAGGTCCACACCATCTGCCCAGGCTCACCTGCATCTTGTCCCACCCCACCCTTTCCAGGAGTGGCCAGGGCTCAGAGACTCCTTTTGGGGCAGCTGGGGATTAGAGAGGGTATGTCAAGTGGCCCAACCCTTCCGTTCCCTGCAGAAGCTGACTGGCCACATTCCATTAGGGAAGGGTGAGTGCTGGCCAGACCGGCATGCATCGCGGCAACCACTTCCCTCCGCCAGCCTCAGCGAGACCAGCACTTCTTAGGACCCTGAGCCCACGGAGCTTCCCCCTCCCCAGGGAGGAAGTGGGATGTGTTTTCAAATGCAAAACCCAGAACTCAGGTCCCTATCCTCTTGGCTCTGATCTAAGTGCTCAGAGGCTCCCAGGGCTGAGCCTTCAGGGCTGAACCCCCAGAGCTGGGGTCACCCCCTACCCTCGAACCACCCCCTGCAGGGTCAGGCTTAGCACCTTCCACTGAGGGGGCTGCCCATAGGCTTCAGAGACACTGACCCCACCTGGAATACTCGCCCCACTTCCAGCTCTGGCTCCTCATTTGTCAGCTCAAATGTCGCCTCCTCGGAGACACCTGCCCAGCTAAAAGAGCCCCCTACTACCTCATGCTACCTTATTTCCTACTTTATTATTACCTTGTCTTGTGTTCTTCATTGCATTTAGCACAGCCTGCTTTGTCTTGCTGATTTTTCCTTCTCTAGCATATCAGTTGGGATCCAATCGGAAAAGAGAAAACAGGCTAAGTATTTCGAACAGAGGGGATTCGATGTAAGGAACTGATAGTGTGCATATTAAAACCATCAAGAACAAAGGGGGAATGCTGAGGGATTCTAGAAACTAGTAAACACAGAAGGCAATCGCTGAAGAGGTGAGAGAGGGGCCTTACCCAAACCCCAGTGAGGGCCCCAGCAGGGCGGTTCTTGGACATAGGGACAGGGGAATTGGATGGAGTAAAATGTTTCCCCTCCACTGGGAAGAGTAGGCACCTAAAGACTGGGAGATTGTTCTGAGGACCATGTGGGCTTCCAGTAGGTGGACTGTACCTCCTTGTCATCAGCCGCCATCACCAAGATACGTACCACCTCGGAAGCAGCACTCAGTACTCACTCAACAATTACTT